AATAAGAATAACATGCTGAAGTGTTGTGACATGAAGACTATTCTTATAGGCTTTATGGACAGATAAGTTGAGAGTGACTCTTGAAGGACCAGCACCACATCCTCTTGTACCACTGTTAGAAGAATTGATCTTCCAGAATCTGGCAGTAAGTTTTAGGAGCTCATTTTTGTCAGTCCCTGCAAGACAGACTTTTCAGGATAGGAGATGGACTAAAAATTAACTCCCAAAACTTACTGCAACATGGAGCAAAGGAGAAAAATGTAAAACTTGATAAATTGAAAAAACAGCTTCGTGAAAAGCGTTTACAGTTGAAAAGCAAATAGAAAGTCCTATTTTTTTTTAATTGTTTTTTTTATATTGTTTTTTTTTCAGATTTGCACGTTCATGAAATATTTTCAAAAAATATTGACGTTTTGAGCAGCTGCATGTTTGAGCAGCTGCGTTCCTCTAGGTTAAAGATGGCAGCCCATAGAACCGCTTGTGGGAAAGTTATGAAATTTGGCACACAGATAGAGCACAGTCTCAACATTATCCACAGCAAATTTGTAGTCTCTGACTCAAACTCTGTAGTGCCACCACTTGTCCAAATGTTCACTCATGTTTATGCTAATAACTTTTGAACCGTAAGGCACAGAAGGATAATTTTTATCTTTTGCTCATGCCAAGTCAAATGAACTCCAAAATGCAACTGAATTAAACACGTAAGGTGTAGTTTGTTTTCCCACTATTTTCAAAACTTCGAAAATTTTACTTTTTCGAACTCGTCCTAGACTGTATGTCTGATTTTCACCAAAATTGGCTCAGATCATCTTCTGACCATGCTGGCAAAAATGTATGGAGTTCAAGTTGATTCATCCAACCGTTCTCAAATAATTATATGAAAAAATATGAAAATCACACAAAAATGGATGTGAGGCTATATCTTCGCAACGGTTTGGCGTATTGAGACCAACCTTGGGTGTGTGTTATAACAAGCATGACCTGAGGCTACCTGATAGTGCTTTGGCTAATTGCCACCTAGTGGTCAGGAGATATGAAAAATTGCTATTTTTGCTTATAACTTCTGAATGGTTTGACCAAAAATCACAAAACGGGTCTCTTTAGATTCGATGGAGCATGCTGAGTCGAACCATACACAATTTCCCCATGTCAGCCATTTTGGGCATCGGCCAAACGCACTGACATATCGTTAAGAAACACGGTATGCATCTTCGTCACCATGCCCTGATGGTACACAAAAAGTTTTGGGGCAGCGGCACCTTGTGGTCAAAAGTTATAATGAAATTTCTAAAAATGCTAATAACTTTGGTTTACAATAGCCTATTGTAATGAGACTGATGTTGATAGATTCCTTGGATCATGTCGAGATGACATCAATACCAATTATGCCATAATTGGCTGAATTTCCTGTCCGCCATTTTGATTTATGTTGAAAACCTACTTTTTCGAACTCCTAGACCGTTGGTCCAATTTTCACCAAATTTGACTCGGATCATCTTCAGAATAAGTTGGCAAAAAGTTATGGATTTCATGTCGATATACGAAACAGTTTCATTTAACGCATCAACGAATTTGCTGGAAAGATGCCAAACTGCATCTGAGGCTGTATCTCTGCAAAGCTTTGACATTTTTACACCAAACTTTGTATGTGCCATTGTCACCTCACACTGACCCGGCCACATCAATTTGGTAACAGCGCCACCTATTGGTCAAAAGTAATAAACCATTCATTAACCATTATGAAATTTCCAAAAATGCTTATAACTTTTGATTGCATTAGCCTATTGTAATGAAACTGGTCTCAAAATGTTAATTGGGTCATGCCGACAACAGACATACCAATTATGCCATGGTAAGCGTTTTCCTGTCCGCCATTTTGATTTGTTAAACCTTTTTTTTCGAACTCCTCCTGAACTGTTGGAACGATTTTCACAAAAATCAAATCAGATCATCTGCAGACCGTGCTGGCAAAATAGTTATGCATTTCGTGTCGATAGACAAAAATGTTTTTGGATATCGCGCCGCTACAAAGTTGAGGCATGATGCCAAAATGACTGAGGCTGTATCTCTGCAAAGCTTTGATATGTTGACACCAGACTTTGTGTGCCATTGTCACCTCACACAGAACACACCACATATATTTGATAACAGCGCCACCTATTGGTCAAAAGCGATAAGCCAGTATTACTACTGTCATATTTATGATTTTTCTGCCATTTTGACTAAAATCATCTTAAAATGGTTCTAATTACTCATTGCTGCAGTTGGTCTGATGCTTGTTTCTGTAGTGCTTGGCCCTGTAATTGCTGCTTGCAGCTATATTGTATTGTTGATTTTTGGCAAATCTGCTTCTTCCACACAGAAATTCATATTCGGTGAAGCTCCTGCCACAAACCCTGCAGAATGAAACACACCGAAGATTCTGAAGAGCAAACAGGTCTTTAATAAAGTTTATTCTCTGTGCCTATAATGTCTTACATTGATATTCCAATTATTATTATTTTTATCTTATTCATGGCAAGTTTCAATGACGTATAATTTACAAAAATGCATCAAAATGACCAAAATGTGGTATAGCAATTGTCTACTTTTACACTGTTACATCTGGGTTCACCAGGGTTACTGAGAGTTACTGAAACTTTACTTTTTCTTTTAATTTAGAGTTGATTAAAGAAACCAAGGAGAATGAAGAACTGAGTGAAGTTGAGGAGAAACCTGGAGAAAAACCTTTGAGTTGCTCTCAAACCAAACAGAAGGATTTAAAGAAAAGAAGAGCCAAGAAATGTTTCACTTGCACTCAGTGTGGAAAGAGTTTGTCAAGCAAATATCATCTTGATGTTCACATGAGAGTTCATACTGGAGAGAAACCATACACATGTGATCAGTGCGGAAAGAGCTTCATTCAATCATCAAGCCTTAAGGATCACATGAAAATCCACACTGGAGAAAATCTATACAAGTGTTCACACTGTGACAAGATATTCAGTCGATCAGCACACCTGAAAATGCACGAGAGGATCCACACTGGAGAGAAACCGTTCACATGTGATCAGTGCGGGAAGAGTTTCACACAATTATCAAGCCTTAAGAAACACATCAATATCCACACTGGAGAGAAACCGTACAAGTGTTCACATTGTGACAAGAGATTCACTCAGTCAGGAATCCTGAAAACACATGAGAGGATCCACAGCAGAGAGAAACCGTTCACTTGTGATCAGTGCGGGAAGAGCTTCACAATAAAAGGAAACCTTAAAGAGCATATGAGAGTGCATACTGGAGAGAAGCCGTTCTCTTGTGATCAATGTGGGAAGAGTTTAACACAATCATCAACCCTGAAGGATCACATGAAGATCCACACTAGAGAGAAGCTGTACGCATGTGATCAATGCAGCAAAACATTTTTGAGAGCTTCAGTCCTGAATAAACACCTGAGAGTTCATACAAAGGAGAAGCCACATTCTTGTTATTTGTGTGGAAAGAGTTGTTCACATCTAGAACATTTGAAAGAACATCAGAAAATACACACTGGTGTGAGAGAGTACATGTGCTTTGAGTGTGAAAAGACTTTTACTACAGCAAAGTGTTTTAAGTAAAAAATTAAGTCATTTCCCAGCAGAAACATCATAAATGCTATAATGTGTTTCAATGGGAGAGTGTGTGCCGTGTGTGCCTGTGTGTGTGGATATGTGAGTTTTTTTGTACATTGGGGACATTCTGCAGTCTCAGCCCTTTGTTTGGGTATGCATCTTTTCTGGATTATGTCAGATTTTGTATAGTCAAAAAAATCAAATAAATGAAAAAATGCTGTTTTTTTCGGACATTCCATTCATTCCTATGGCCGGGTCAAAATGAATGTAATACTTGTGGGTGTAATACTTTTTTTATTACACCCACATAGAATCCTCGAATCGACTCAAATTTTTT